AAGTTGCTAGCATGTATCTGTCAGACTGTCACATTATTATTATTATTATTTTTATTATTATCCATGTATCTAATTATGTGTACATATATTTGATAAAAATATATGCATGTATCTGAAAAAGATTTCATGAATCCGATAAAGTGTACATGTTTATGAGTTAAGAAGTCTAAATTTTGTTGAATTGCCAAAACAAAAAGGATTCTAATTGTTTTGATTTTTTTTAGGGGTTGTGATATGCCATATCTTCTAAAGTTGTTACAAACGTGTTTTTCTCCTTAATAATGGCTTTCAGTTATATCCCATAATTAGACACACTAATCGGTATGTATATACCTTACATGTATCTCGGATATATGTATCTGCAAGAGGCAGATACACGTATTCGAGGACCAAAATATGGTAAATATTATATTACAACCTAGTGTGAATCTAAGTAATTAACTCCTATATTAGTGAGATTTGTGTAAACCCTAAAACTTAGAAGGAATTGAGCGGGTTGAGTTATAATCTACATTTTAGTCCATTTCAGTCCAACTCATTTAAGCCCAAGTAACTTTTTTTATCCAAAACTTTCAAAACTGTAGTTTGAACTTGAGTAGAGATTTATAGTTATAATTTTCTTAATTACGAATTATAGCTACATAATTGGGAGGAGAGAGGTGAGGAAGACTAGGAGAGGGAGGATAGAGGTGAGCGAGACCTGGGAGAAAGGCGAGAGAGGTTGAATAATGTTATATTTGTTGTATCAGGTTGTATCACGAATACAATAGATACAACTGATTTATATCAAAATGAATATAATTGTATAAAAAACAATTGTATTCAACTACATATTATAAGGAGAGAGATGAGAGAGGGAGGAGAGAGGAGAGAGAGAGGGGAGATAGTGGAAGGAGAGAGGCAAGGGAGGGAGGAGATATAAATTTGCTATAAAACCCTACATAGCTACGAATTATAATTATTTTAAATTGTTAGAGAGTCATCGTAAATACATATAACATATTTGTCTTGTTATGTAATTTTCTTCTTTTTTATTAACTCAGCTCAATTTGATCCTCCGAAAATTAAACTAGTTCAACCCACCTATATTATAACTCTGGAATTTACTAAAAACAAAATATTGGGAGCAAGGAGAGAAGTGGGAACCACGTTTGGAATATTAAAAACTATGATGTTTCCAAATTGGTGTTAGTTTACAAGTAAGGCATGCAGCCACAATAGTCATTTGTTTCATGACCAATCACTTTTGTGAAAGTGATGAACAACTTGATGATTACTTTACTCCATTGCAGGCTGTCACTTTATTAGTTTATGAACACTAGTTTTTGGGTGGTCCATGTCCACTTGACCACATTTTAAAATCTGTACATACATTGTACTGATTTTGACCAACTTTCAACTGTCCAAATCAGCCTAGGGGAGGATAATGTAAGAGCTAGATAATTGCAAATCTGATCCCAAAGTTGAATGAGTAACGGTTTATTATGTTTTGTTTGGTCATAAAAGTTATTAATTTTTTTTTTCGGATTTGTTTTTACATTTATTTGAAAATCAATGTTTATCCATGAAAATTATAATTCAACTTGAAATTATATTTCAAATTTGAAAAATAACATATAACATGTTATCTAATTGACTTTTCATTTTTGAAGTTGAATACAGTTAGTTAAATTCAAAGATGAACGTTATTCTCAAAAAATTACAAAAAAATATAGTCAAACACAATTCTATCTTCAACACCAATTTCATAATTTTAAAAAAAAACGAAAAATATTTGAAACGTATGGGAAACACCTACTTAAAACATCACTAGATTATTGTTATTTTTGTATTATTTTTTTTAATACCACTTAGAAGTTTATAAATGGTAAATATTTTCTTAATATAGTATATTTATGTAAGTTTCCCCTTTCTTGAATGTGTAGGCATTATGAGCCCGTCAATGTTGGGCCTGAAATTATAGATGGCAAAAGCCCAACAGGACTAAGAAATTGGATTAAATTAAGGAAAAATTAGCAAACTAGTCAAAAAGTCTTAATTTAATTAGTAAAAACCTTCATACTTTATAAATATTAGTAAAAATGTCAAAATATCATTATTTTAGAAAAGCTTGTGTATCCTAATTTACTTCCTATTTTTATCTTACCTTAGTTACACATTTCACAATTAATCCTCTATCATATGTTTAAAATAAAGGGAATATTTTCTCTCTCTCATATTTTCATCTTCTTCTTTTTTTTTGCAACATATTTACATCTTCCAATTCTTCTCCATTTCAAAATCCACCTCTCTCTTCCTTTTTTTTTTTTCCAGAAATTGAAAAATATATTTATAAAGATATTCACACAATCCCTTTTATTGAGGTATGCATCTTTATTCGTTTTTTAAGATTTATTTTATGATTTTATTTTTGTTTAAAATTGTTGTCTGTAGTTGAAATCACGTTTAGGATTTGATAAACTTTAAATCACGCTCCAATGGCAGAATTTAAGAAAATTGCTAGAGGTATCCAACTTAATCAACAATTTTCTATTTTTCAATATCACGATTTTCTACTTAGAACACAAATGACGACAATTTTGTATTTTAATTTGCTTATTTTGTATTTCAATATCACTTTATCTACAAACAAGTTCTACTTTCTTTTTTTTTTTGTATTCACCATAATGGTATACCAACAAAGTCACATTTGTATTTCAATTGAAATGAGTATTTATTGTGCTCATTTTGTATTTCAATCTCAATTTTCAATGACAACATATTTCTTTTTTATTATGTTTTCATCATAATTGTATACCAACAACTTTTATATTTTATGTGCTCACTTTACCATTCAAATTAAAATTGAATATCATATTGTGGTGCGTATTTTATTGTGATCATTTTGTATTTAACTCTCACATTGTATTCAGAAAAGTTTGTATTTTTTTTTTTGTGTTCATCATAATGACATACCAACAAAGTCAATTTTGTATTTCAATTGATGTGAGTATTTATTGTGCTCATTTTGTATTTCAATCTCAATTTCAATGACAATAAGTCTATATTTCTTTTTATTATGTTTTCATCATAATTGTATATCAATAACTTTTGTATTTTATGTGCTCACTTTACCATTCAAATTAAAATTGATATTTTACTTTCATAGTGAAAACTAAAAATTGTATTCCAGTGATCAAAACTGTATTACATAACTGCCAAATATATTTTTCTTTTATTTGTATTACAAAAATATTATTCATTGTATCACAATATAATCTAATCATTACATATGAATATGTTTAAAGAAAGATACAAGATTTTGATAAAAGAATAGCATACATAATAAAAATAATACAATCTGTTGAGGATTTAATGATACAATATTCTAAAAAAAATACAAATTAACTGTGAAAGAAATATGATACATCTATGTTTAAGAAATACAAATCAATTTGGCATACCAACTAGAATGACTACAAACTAAAAAATATTATAATGTTTTTAATAAAAATATAAATATTGAGTAAAAGAAAAACAATTGACAAACAAAAATTAATATGAATACAATTTTTGCAACCTTCTTCTCCATTCTCTCATTCTTTGCAACCTTCTTCTCTGATTCTCTCTTTTTTTCTTCTTCTTCACGAAAGTCGATTTTGGTTCTAAAATCTGATCCATTGAAGCCATGGTTAGATATAAAAAAACGCAATTTAATCAAATTCATTTCAACAGAAATTCAGTATTATCAATGAAAATTTAAAAATCGATATTAAAAATTTGATGAACAAGTGGGATGAGTTCTTTGTGTTTTTTTTTTAAAAAAAATTTGTATTTAATTTTGAATTTTTGTAACTAATGAGACTTTTAAGCAATTGTTCCTTTTTTTAAAAATTTCTCTCCCCTAAATTTCTCCTTTCTATTATTTAATAATTGTATTCTTTAAATAAAACAAATAATAAAAACTTAAATAAGATACATATTAAACTAAAATTCTGACATTTTTACTAAATATTGAAAGTATTGACAATGAGTCCTATTAAATATTAAAATATTGACATTTTGAAAAAAATTCCCTTAAATTAACGTTGCTGTGACTCCTTTTTTAAGACTAAGATTGGATTTTGAATTAAAGTTATCTAAATCAGGCTCTTTTTAAATTTAATTCGGTACAAGCTATTTAATTTATTTTTTCTATATTTTCTTCACTATTATAGAAAAACAAACAATGGAAGTACAGGAAAAGTTTCTATATTTCTCCACTATTATATATGCACTATATTATATTAAAGCAGAGGCAGACATACAGTACTAGTTTAGAATCTGTATGGGTTAAAAAAAACCACTAAATTGGTATAAATAATATATTTCAAAGCAATTATACATTACTTTGGAATGTAAGTCGTCACATGTTACAAAACTGCATAGACTCACAGTCCTTAAAAATATAAACAAAACTTGCTGAAGGGCAACAGAATTAAGGGTGTATTCAAGGAAACATTTTCCCAATTTTCGAAAAATATTTTCTTTATATAAATAAGGAAAATGACTTTCGTATTTTTTCCATCCACACCCCCACCTTATAGCCCCGTCCTCAACCCACTCCTACCTCCTACATTATTTGTCTAGATTGTATGCAATACATATCAAAAACAAAAAAATAATTAAGAAAGTCACTTATTTTCCTAGAAAACATTTTATTTTCCCATAGAAAATATTTACCTCGAACACATTGGATAATGTTTTTGTCCTTTATAATCTTTTTCCTGACATGTACTGATGCTTAAAGAAAAACTTGAAAGACACAAGACAATAAAATGTAATGATGAAGATTATAAAACCCTTGGACAAGCAATGCTTTTCTTGATTTTCCATTTTGGGAATATTTGAATGAAAATTCTTGCATTGCTAAGTAGGCAAAGGCATTTTGGTTCTGTCCCTCAACTTTAATCTTTCCTCCTCTTTAAATCCCAAACCAAATTTCATATTGTATTCATTAAAAAATTATAACAAATCAACATTTTCCTTGTTGATCATGGCTGACTCAAATTATGTTGATAGGGAGAAGCAAAAGCAAGCAGACAATGATATCAAGGACATGATCTCTTCTCTGACTAAACGTCTAACCGGCCTCCAACGCGTGCACAAGGCAACATCAGGAGGAGACTCAGGCCAGAATCTTCAAGGTGATGATGAAGATGATCATGGCACCAGAATCATCACTCTAGCTGGAACCAATGTGGGAGCCAGCATGCGCGGTGAGATGGATGAGAAAGCTGGGATCGAAGGCGTTTCACCAGGGGAAAATGAGGCCTTAAAAACATATGTGAACAGCAATTTCCAGTCCATCAACAATTCCATCATGATGGGTGGTAGCTATTGTACTAATGACCCTGGTGTTCATTTGGACATCACTGATCATGTGGATGAACAAGTCCCAAAACCACAAGGATATAAAAACAAGAAAGGCAAGAAAAGTGACCATCACTATGAACATTCAGAATAGACTTATATTCATAATCAAGAAGCTGCTAAAAAATTTCAAACCAATACTCTATATATGAATAAACACCATAGCTTAGTTGAGTTCTGTGTGTTTCCTTCTATTTTCAATGTCTCTTTGTCTCTTGGCAGTGGCGATTACGGCCATTCGACTAGAGACTTAGTATTGATGCTTGTCATGATATATCAGAAAAGCAAATGTTACATTTGTATTATCTTAAATAATCACAACATCTTCTGCTGTTTTCTCATATTAGTCTCCTTTGGCTGCATTTGATTCATAATATTGACAGTTTTGATAAGCTCTTTCCTTGAAGAACAAAAATGAAAGATAAAGGTGCAGTCTTTTTATTACAAAATCTAAGGTTCACAAAGAAAACGCGGAATACATATTGAAATACTTGTAGATACAGTTGACATCAAGGGATCCTGGGTTCAGAATTGGTTTCTAGATCTTTGAAGGGTAACTCCTTCTCTTTTTTCTCTTCAGTTTCATGGACAACTTTTTGCATTTCTCTGTTCTTGCCCCAGAGCAGAAAATATAAACCAGCAATTACGATAGCCGATCCTATTACACTGATCATGATTTGTTTACAAGGAAATTAGTCAGTGATAAGCTGGTGATTAGTTGGAAATAAGTTAAATAGGGAATATAGAAGCTTTAAACTGTTGTAATCACCTTCCAAGATGGAGTTGTTCGTGGAGGATGGGAACGTCGAATATGGCTGCCATAACTTGGACAAGAGGACTGAATGCTGCAGTGAAGACAGGACCCCTCTTCTTGACACACCATGACATTCCCACAAAGCACATTCCTGAACCTATTAATCCCTGGCTTGGGAAAATTCATTGTTGTCAAGTAGAAACCAAAACAAGATAAATTAATCAGTGGTAAACTAAACTCTTTTTTTAACTTAAGAAGTTTTAAACTTAGATAATAATGAGATAGTTAAGTCTCCATTTTGTGTTTAAAAGTCATCCCACGACGATATTCATTCTTATACAACATAGAAGGGGCTTCTCTACTTTTTGTCCCGTACGTTCCCTTAACAAACTAAAGGAGAGGACATTTTTTGGTTCATAGAAAGACTTGGCTTTTCTTTTATCTGCACATAGGAACCAATGAAAGAAATACTAGTATCTGAAGTCCAAGGAACTTTAATTCGATGTTGATTGTCACAACTCACACGTCATTCAGAATTTCTAACGAATCCGTGAAAAATTTCTTAAACTTCTTAATTTTCAAGGACATACAGTAATGAATAACTCTATCTGTGGTGCATCATATCTTTGTAAATAAATTGGTTGAACTACAAAGACAGAGAGAAAAAGAAAAAGACAATGAGAGGATAGTCTATTTTCGCTACTTAGGAAGATAAGAACTGGTGTTAAGTGCACTTACAGCATAGAGGATACTCAGCATATCTATCTTTTCCTTTGGAACCCAAATGGATAGTCTTCTGTCCATGGAAAAAGTCAAGACAGCCGATTGTATGGCGCTAAAGAAGGTCATAATAGCAGTGCTAGAGTACTTGCATGGATATTTCTTTCCAATAAACGTTTGGAGAAGGAACCACGAAGACCACAAAAGTGTCCCAGCAAACAAAGCCAGAGAACCAAGGATCCATCTTTCCTTTATTTTAGAGGAACTAATGTCTCCTTCCGAAGATGAAGATACAGATTGTTGGTCTGAAAAATGAACCAAAGGGATGCCTTTGTAAAAAGTCAGTAACAAGGCACCTCCAACGCATACTAGTGTACCAAGTGCTTTGGCAATTCCACTTCCATGTTTGATGTTGATAGTCTCTAACCTGCATCATTTTCATACATGATGGAGTTAAATTATCATTTGTAGTATAAGAAAACAGAACAGTTTAAGGCTATTTGTTAATTAGAATGAGAAAACCATAGCTTTCGTACCCAAAAGGTAATGCCATAAGGAATGTGATCACAGGAACCATGTTGAGAAAGGCACATGAGAAAGTTGCAGATGTGTATTCCATGCCAAGAAGGAATAAATATTGCGTAACAGATGCCCTACAAAAATGATGTAACATAGAGTGAAAAATCTTTAACAAGAAAACATAGCCATGCAAAAGAGCTTAGAATATTATAGAGATTATTCCGACTTACCCAACAATGGCACTCAAAAAAAGGTTACACAAGATTTGAGGGGTAAGTTTTGGTCTCGTGTTCCTGCCAGAAGCAATAAGTTGCATGTTTAGAGGCGGCAAAAGTTTTCCATATATTAGATATGTAAATGTTTCTTAAGAGACGATATTCATACTTTTCCAGAAAGAAAGCAACTGGGGCTAAAAAAATGGTTGAAATGGCCTGCCGATAAGTTATGAAGACCAAATGGTTCATCCCATCCATTATAATCTTCTTGAGAAGTATGTTACTAATGGCAAAAGCAAAATCGATTGCCAACATAATAAAAATAGGGTAGCATTCCACATAGCTCTTCATCTGAGTATTTCCCTTTCTGTCAACACTTTTAACTTCCTTCTCGTAATCTGCCTCTTAATTGAGTTATCGTCCCGTGCTTTTAAACATGAAGATGAGATAAGACATTTAAAGTTCCACATGAACTTTAGTGGAGTAAAAAAGTGCACACGGCAGAGGGATTAATTCCTGCAATCACATCAATGCTTTTATTCTACCAGAAAAAGTTGACATTTAGTAACATTATATACTCTTATCATTTTCCTTTTCTTTGTTTGAAAGATAACACTATTTCCTTCCTTTTGACTAATCCTTTCCATCATAACCAACCAGATTAACAGATTCATTTGTCTATGAATTAATTTATGTAAAGAACATTTAACATGTGAGTCAACCCACTAATCTAGGCAAAATTTCCATTTTGATATATAGAAGATAGTGTAGCAAGCATCTTATGGGTGGGGGTCAAATAGAAATGATTCCCTTTCTTGCAGCATAGTATAACATGTAATGCATTTCTTATGTCTTGGTAGCCTCAGCATCTAATGCTGCTTTTAGAACTTGTATTCAAGCATCTTTAGAGTACAAAAAGGGGACACAGAATAATTCATCATATTCATATAATAACACCTTGACTGTTCACTATTTCAAAATTCTTTAGCTAGACCACAGTACACCTGAAGGGACCAGGTATTTTCCTTACCACACGAAACTCACTCGAAATTGACTGAATAAAAGCTCGCATACTTTGAATAACATTGTTAAAGAAATAAGTTAACTTGAGTATTACTCGCGATACCCTATTACAGAGTTGTTAAACCTATTTTAGTAAGCAAATCAAGATCAAGGAGAGTGCGACTCCACAGCATAATTTCCATGTGTTATACATACACCTTGTGACAAAGCAATGTGTATGATCTGAAAGGACTGGAACTATGTTTAACTTTTCACCTTCATAAGGGTCCATTCATGTGGACCAAGAAAGCATTCCATATAAAATGCTTCAAGGATTTTTCCACATGAAAGAGCTAAAAGGGCGGATCAAATCTCTACTTTAATTCTTGTACAGTTTAAAAGTGTCAAAGAAAGAAATATCCCACTTTGTTTGCAAGATATGAACAGAGGAGAATAGCTACATTGGTTATAAGTCACACCACACCGCTTTTAACCAGTAACATCACATTGATCTTTTCACTGGAAAGTAGGGGTGGGGTGGACAATAGACATGCTTTCGTGTCCGTTATCTTAATCCTTATTCTTTTGTTCCATATCTAAAGTATTGAGTTGGAATCCTTCATCTCCTTTAGCAACAGTGAGCCACACAATTATTTCCTAACAAATGTTCATGCATTAAGAGGCATGGAACCAGTAAAAAGAACCCTGCTAAGTGCTAATTGCCTCTATAGGCATACTGATGTTAAATGTGATGAGATTCTCAATTTCCATTTTTGTTCCATATCCCAGATATCAGATTTTCTGGATGCTCATATTCCACATTGTAAGCATAACCTTTTATACAGAAATCAAATTTCATCGCTGCTCTTATTTGAGGTAGGTTCTTTCCTATCCACACAAATACTCTTCTGCAACATGCAACTTATTGTGTAAGCACGAAGCAAATCATCATAACAGAGATTCTTGTTTTTTAGGTCCATCTATTTGGTAAGAGCCATATGGCTACTCTTAAGTCTAACCTTAATTTAGGCCTACAGTCATGGAGTATTAACTCTGTTCATTAGAAACCATAAGTCCATTCTTCTTGCAAACATTACATACATATAGAAGGACCTTCTAAGAATATACAGGTCTTAATGAGTAAGTATTGAAAATCAGATTATCGAGTCTATGGAGAAACTAAAATGTTCCTGCCAATATATAATCCACACATAATTGTGAAATGACTATTCCTTCATAAAAACAAACGTATTTAAGTTCATTTTCCAAAGAAGTACCGCTCTGATTGCCCAACGAGTCATCTACTTTTTCATCCAGATAAGTAAGTTAATTGATCAAAATCAATATAAGCAAATGATTATAATTATTGCACAACATATCCACAAGTCTCAGCACTATCAGACAAACCAGCCGAGCAGTGGAAAGAGAAGAAATAACAGCTGTGAGTCAACTATATGATATAATACTATTTGTACAAGTTGATAGACTTTCCCTACCTAAAAGCAAGCACCAAAATATTGCAGCTGCAATGGATCAGATGCCACAGTGGCAGTGGCCTGTCTGTGCGATGTTCGTTATAATTTTTTCCTTCAACTATCATGTATTCGTAGCCCAACAGCCTACTAATCCAGATTCACTCTAGGTAGACCCACAAAGTGCTTCCTAACGAAAGGTACTCCATTTCCATGCTCGAACCAACCAAAGACTACTAATTAAGAACGGAGAAATTCCAACTATTGCACCACTCTTTGCTGGTAATGTACATTATGATTGCTTCTTGTTGAAACATATTAATGGGTTTACGTGAATATGATCTCGTCAAGATTCACCAAAAGTCAAAAGATATATCAACAAAACATTTTTGGCTTTATTTGAATCAACAGTATAAGCCTAGTGTCGGGCAGTGGAACACAATAAACTGTTATCTAGTGCTACCTATGCCACAGTGAACCCCAATACTTCTTAGTGCTTAAAATCTTAATCATTCATTTCTTACCTTTTTATTTTTGTCTGAATTTGAGTAATTTGACCCTTCTGATATTTTCCAACAGAACTAGACATGAAACCTAAGTTAATGCAGCAATATTGTCTTAAGGTAATCTACATGGTAACTAAACCATTTAATCAGGAC